AATTGAAGAAATGTGCAACATTTCAGTCCCGCTCAATGGCAGCACGTCTGCCAGTCGTATACTATGGGAGTATTCTTCACGTACGTGATCAAGCGGTGGGAACCAGCTCGTTGTCACAGGGCACCTTCACTGCACACGCAATGCATTCATGCAAAAGCGCTAATGAAGGATGGGTCCCCCAGATAAATTGCCCGCATAATAGCACCGGCAATGCAAGCCAAGAAACGGGATCCGGCAACTTTGCGACAAAGTCTCGGGTTTCTTGTTGTATGTGCATCGGCAACGATGTGTGCAGATTCGATGCGGTGCCGCCGGCTGTGACTGTCGATCATACTATGATAGAGCTAGTGCAAACAAGAGGACGTATGGTGCTCGGCGCTGGTGTTTCGGCGTTTTGGGGCTCGGAAGGACGTGTTCCGTGTATGCCTGAGGTTGAGGTAGAATTCCGCACTCAAAGGAACAAGAGTAGAACGAGGAGGAGGATCAGGACGAAAATGAGGACGCCGATACAGCAACTGGACCAGGAATCTAGGAGAGTCGGTCAACGACGCCCAGTACACGGATCGCACGAATCTTACCTTCGTTTTGTTTGATGACCCAGCCGACCTTTTTGAGACCTGTTTGAAGTTTACCGCCGACTCTGTCTGCCACGTTGTCGACATCGGTGAGCAGTTCGCCCTGTTCCTCAAGCTCGCGACCCATGTCATCGGCTTGCTGTCGCAGGTTGCCGACAGTACGGAAGACGCCGTCAAGAGCCTCGTCCTGCTCGTGCATCATCTCCATTTGTCTTTCCTGCTCGAATGCCGCGTAGTTGTCCTCCTCCTCGAAGGAATCCGGGTCGGGCAGGACGTCGCCATTGGCCGCGACCTTGCCTTTGTTCTTCGCGTGTTGGACCGTCTGCTGCAGTTCCTCGCGCATGTTCTCGATCTCATAGCCAACATCTTTGACCAGCGTTCTCCGTCGCTCGACTTCATCGATCTCCAGGCCGAAGCGATAGGGGTCGTGCTCCACGGCCTTGACGCTCTCGACTAGGTCCTCGAGGTCCTGACTAAGGTCTTGGAGCGTCTGTTCAAGTTCGCTGCGCGCTTCCCGAAGCTCGGGACTGTTTGCCGATGAGGCCGAGGAACGGATACGCAGATACGACTTGAAGAGCGGTCGCGCCGTGTTGAGGGCAGACAATACGTCTCTATAGCACGTGTCAATGGAGATGCCCAAACCGCGAATGGAGCCGTCTTACGCCTGCACCTGGAGGAAAGGGTCCTCGTCGTTCTGTGATGACATCATCTTGCGCTGTGCGACACCGGTTGTCCCTCCAGAGTATAGCCGTGAAGCAAGATGGCGGTCGATGAAGCGTGGGTGAAGGTGTAGGAGCGTGTCAATACGCTGTCCGCTACAAGCGATGACGCGCCTCAACACCTCGGCACGGACCCACCTTCCCAAAAAAATCACCCACAATGAGCACCCAACTCCACCACACTTTCTCGATGGCGCACTCACCAAGATCGCGGATACGCAACAATACCGCCCTCCGCATAAGAGAGATTGGATGACGCAATGGGTCCGGACACGCCTCTTCCCCTTTCCCCCGACTTCACCAATACTGAAGAATACATCGAGTCATTGCTGCACTTGACGACTTCCTCATGGCTGCTCCAGACACTATGTGGAGGTGTCCATATATTGGACTTCTACACCAGGTCACCTAGTCTCTATTCGCACATCTTGCCACAGTCATGGCGAGAATGGTTCAAAACGCGAGATATCATGGATATTTTGGACCTCTTGATGAGGGAAGATCTCAGTCAGTTCAATCCGGAAGGACAGGTTAACGACAAAACCTGGCGGAATGGTCCTGCACCGCCTAAAGAACTGCTACAGTACATCCGCACTGTACGGAAACACCTGTTGGCTCGTGACTTCCCTCCACCCAATTCCGGCCTTGAGCCTCAAAAACCTGCTATATCTCGTCACATCGCAACTGGTATGAAGGTCAAGAAAGTGCACGAAGTTGATAACTTTGCGCGCTATATTGACAGACTCACCTCCGAGATAGCGCAGTCTGATAAGAAACCGATTACCCATCTTGTGGATTTCGGCTCAGGTCAGAACTACCTTGGACGCGCACTCGCTGCACCTCCTTACTCCAAGCATATCGTCGCTGTAGAAAGTAAACAGCACAACATCGAAGGAGCAAAGAACATGGACATCTTGGCCAAACTGGTAGCAAAACCCACGGTCATGAGGAACAAGAAGGAGTATCGCGCGAAGATGGGCAAAGTGAAAAAGGGCAAAGAGGCCAAGGAAGATGCGTCCACGGCACAACCTGATGTGCCAAGTCCATCTGATGCCAAGGAGGATGAATCGGGGACAAACAAACACAACCAGGAAGCACCATCTGGTTCAGCCACCCAGAACACTGATCTAGCGTCACCACTTCAAAACGGTGTGAGCTGCGATGAGGATGGCTGTGTACTACACCAAGTCTCTCAGAATGTCTCAAAACCTGCACCTGCTGAAGTTTCTGCCGAGGCCAGCGGGTTTACAGATCGAACCCCGGCTACGAAGACTTCTACACTACAGATATACAATGAAGGTCATGGTAGCGTACAGTATGTCGAACACATGATCAAGGATGGCGATCTGACACCCGTCATCGACCAAGTCCTGGACAGCTCACGTGTACCTGAGGAGATTGTGAGCTCGGAGACTTCTGTGGTTGCTGAAGCTACCAATTTGAACGCTGTACCGAAACCGAAGGACGTAAACGCGATGGTAATTTCACTGCACTCATGTGGCAACCTCGTTCATTATGGGCTACGCTCCATGCTTCTCAATTCACATATCTCTGCAGTAGCAATGGTAGGATGTTGCTACAATCTGCTCACAGAACGCCTTGGCCCTCCTACCTACAAGCTACCTACGCTCCGTCCTAATCACCCACGCCTGGAGTCTACTTCCAAAGCCTTCGATCCACAGGGATTTCCCATGTCCGAGAGACTTGCAAACTACCCCCTACCACATACGCCTCTGGAATCTTTTCATGATGACTCGAAAGCAGACGGTGAACAAGTCAAACAACCAACAGGTGTACGGCTCAATATCACAGCACGCATGATGGCTGTGCAAGCACCTTTCAACTGGGGTGTGACCGACTCAGAACTCTTCTTCACCCGTCATTTCTATCGAGCCCTGCTTCAGCGTATCTTCCTAGATCGTGGTGTGGTCTCTGCACCTTTAGACGAACAAGGTCTCGTTGGCGGGGCGGTCTCAGCTAACGGTCACACCTCTCAGGTGAACTGGACACCACCAAATGGCCGCGGTCCTGGCCTCTCGTCTGACGGTAAAACTACGCCACTTACCATCGGTACCCTGCGCAAATTTGCCTATAGCGATTTCGTCTCCTACGTCCGCGCCGCATTAGCAAAACTCACCGCTGAGAACTCTTTCTGCGAGGTTGATCCAAACTTTATCAAAGAAAAGATGGATGGGTTGACAGATGACGATATCAGAGACTACGAAGTGAGCTATGCCGAGAGGAAAAAGGAACTAAGTGTTATGTGGAGTTTGATGGCCTTCAGTGCCGGCGTAGTGGAAGCTGTTGTGGTCACCGACCGATACCTGTGGCTCAAGGAGCAGGAAGAAGTCGAACACGCGTGGGTTGAGCCGGTATTCGAGTACAAATATAGTCCACGCAACCTTGTTGTCGTGGGCATCAAGAAGTAAAGCGGTGTATCCAGCTTTCGCCAATGGCATAGCAGGATCTATGGAAAGGTTCGAACAACCTGATCATATTGAGTCAATCATGAATTCATTACTAACCTCATCCATTGACATGTATCCTGCGATTGTTATACCCCCTGCCCTGGCCGAAATCTCAATGCATAACAACTACTGCCTGCTTCTCGTCTGCACACCAACGAGCGATGCGCCTCAGGCATACAAGGCGTCCATAGATCCTACATGTTACATCCAAGGCATCCAAGCCGACCGGACAATTCGGCGCGTCTTCACTCCACAATATTTTTCGGCGCGCCATGGCAGGCTATTACCTCACCGGTATGATGAGGCTGTGTGGATGGAACGATTGAGGCGTCCAGCCAATCTCGTTTCGTCACCGGATCAAGCGTCTTCAGTGGGCGTCCCTAATGCTTGGCACAGAAGGCGCGCGCACAGTGGAGGAAAAGGTTCGCTACCCAGAACGATCAAGCAGTACAAGCTGTGACATTGACGTTCAGCCTCACGGACCGTTACCGACGGAAGTACAAATCAGAGAAGCATGGAACGTCAAAATCGGGGTTCTAATTTCGAAGTGCAGCGCTGCACAATAGCGACGCTACAGGATTTAGCCGCTACGAAGGAGCACGCTTGTCCCGCGTACCCGTGCATCTCCACTTATATCACATGTTCTTCAATCCGATTTGCCTACCATGCCAAAACAGCCACAACGCCAGCCTACTTTGAGTGATATGTACCAGGCATGGGATACGCGGGGCCCTTATAGCCAAGAATCTAAACAGAGCGCGGCAGACGTGTACGAGTCGAGAGGCGTTTTTAGGCTGCGGCTGCTGCGGGTTACGGCCTTGACAGGTAACAAGGCTGAGCTACGTCCATTGTGATTAAGATGGCAATGGTGCCCATGTGTGGAAGCTACTTTCTAGTTCCATCGAAGTTGGTTTGAGAGATTTGGGCTGAGGAACGTGTATCACGAGACCGGAGAGGCACTCTTCGATCGATTTTCGACCTATAGAGGCGCTCATTCCAAATCCACAAAACTCTAACGCAAGCGGAGGGCACGAAGATTTACGACTAGGATTGACGTTCGAAGACATTGTTTTGTTCAGAAAGAGAAGGATCAAACACAAAACTAGACACCTTCTTTACTACTCAACAAGTCACGTCCACAACCCTCGTACGAGTGACGCCATTCGTACCGCACCGTTCTATATCTAGTTCCACGGTTTTGGACAATCCAACGTATAGTCTGCACGCCCCCCTAGACCATGAGGTCCTTCATAGCGCTCTCAGCGCTCCTAGCAGTTGCAACAGCACAATCGGTCACAGCCACAGACGCCTCACAGTCATTTGATATCGTGCCAACGTCGACACCCACACCATCATCAATAGACGACATTGACCTTGACCCGACAACCACAGAGAATGTTTCTGGACCGATAGAGACGAGCCAGGCTTGTGGAGACATAGCCGAGCTAGTGGCGGATGACTTCTCAGAGTTTCCAGTCGTGGATGCCGCACTAGCGTACGCATGCCTCAAGTCACTGCCTTTCTACTCAACCTCCGCATCATCGACAGTGGATGAGATCAAGAAGATGGTGGAATTTCAGTCGACGCTCAATTATCTCAAAGACCCACCGAAGGGATGGCCGAATGACGCTGTCGATATCGTTGCCGGCTTAGACAGCATCAAAAGCAACGTCGAATCCGGACAATACAGCAATGAATTCGACTTTGAAAATGACATTGCATCTTTGATGGTGAAGGCGCACGATGGGCATCTCGGCTGGAACGGTATGGCATATGCAGGAGTCTTCAGATGGCGAAGAAGCAGCGCTTTTGCTTTGGTCTCAGCGTCAAGAGATGGGAGCGAGATGCCCCAAATCTGGGCTTTGGGGGACTTCAATGGCACTGTTGATTATGAACCTTCGCCGGTCACACAAATCGACGGAAGGGACGTTGTACAGTTCTTGACGGACGAGGCGAATTTGAACTCTTACCACGATCCGGATACTCGGTTCAATGCCATGTTCTTTTCACAGGCCGCAGAAAACTATGGGTACTTTACCAGTCCAAGGTTTTACCCTGGTTCTACGACGAACATTACTTTCGAGAACGGAACAACCGATACGTATAGCAATGGTGCCATTGTTGTGGATCCTCAGACTTGGAGCTATGTCAGCGATCCTGAGTCATTCTATGATACATACATTAGACCCGAGACGAGCTCATTTAGGGTCAAGAAGAGGGATCCTACTAAACTACCCATGCATTTAGAGAACCCGCGCGACTATGAATTCAGGGGTACATTTGCCCAACAACACGGCTCAGTGCCATTGCTTTACCCAGATCCGGTCGTTGCTCACTCGGCGGATCAGGTGCCTTTGGCCGGATTCTTCATCAATACCAATGCTGGCGAAATCGGTGTTCTTGTAGCAACGACATTCAATACCGAGGACGTTGCAGGTGCACAGGAATTCCAATCCGTAATTCAGGAGTACATCTCGCAAGCCCAATCCCGTGGCGTGGAGAAACACATTATTGATATACGTGCCAATAATGGTGGCAAAGTACTCTCGGGGTATGATATGTACCTACAATTCTTCCCATCCCAGGAACCTCAGACACAGAACCGATATCGCGGACACCGAGCCAGCGAGGTCTACGGCGAGAGTATATCTAGCTTCAAGGAGATTAACCTCCTCAACGCCGAACTCTTCACGAGCCCCTTCAGCAACGACGCCTACCTCTCTTCCACTGGCGAAGATTTCCCAGACTGGAAAGCCATGTACCCGCCCGAGCGATTCAACAACGACAAGTTCACCGCCCTACTCAAATACAACTTGAGTGATCCTCTGACAACAAGCAACGAGCGTACCGCCGTAGGAATCACCATGACAGGCTACAACTCGAGAAGCAACTTCACTACGGACCCCTTCCGCGCCGAGGACATAATTTTGCTAACTGACGGCGTCTGCGCCTCAACATGCTCCATCTTCACCGAACTCATGGTCCAACAGTCCGGCGTACGAAGCCTCGCTATTGGCGGCCGCCCTAGCCTTGGTCCCATGGTAGCCGTCGGTGGCACAAAAGGCACCTTGGTAATCCCTTCCCTCTACATGGAAGCCCTCTCCGAATACGTCACCTCGCAATTCGCGTCGTCTCGCTCCGAAGCAAACGACTGGGCCGAGTTCCTCCCATCAACTCCGCCCATCGCCGTGATCGATGCTAGCGTCAACTTCCAGGACAACATCCGTGCAGGCTTTGAGTCGGCGGGCGTACCAACACAGTTTCTCAACGATACGGCGAGTTGTCGGATCTGGTACGAGCCTGAGGATTACTTCAATGTGACAAGGTTGTGGGAGAAGACGGCCAATGTGGCGTTTGGAAACAACGGAGGCATGGATGAGGGCGCTTGCGTGGCAGGAAGTGTAACGAACAAGGAACAGCAACAAGGAAAAGGAGATTCGAATCCGGAAAGTTCCGGAGATGGAAGTGCGCAAGGGGGTGATGATGATGAGGATGCGGCGAGTGGACTAAGAGTAGGCTGGGTTCACCTGCTTGTCTCTGTCGGCGCTGTCGCGCTGAGTTTCTGTTTGATGTAGATCGAGTAGTGATCGTTTCTAGTAACATGCCTTTCTCCTTCACCCTATGCGAACCTTTTGCTCATGTCTGCATGGCTCCGTACCGTTCTTCAATATCCTCTCGCGGAAATGTCGAAGCGGTATAAGTCAAACCGATTTACTTCATTTCATCCGCTAGGGACTATAAACATTAACTTGATGACCATCGGTGTCAGGCATCCTTCGCTCCTTCCTCTCTTTAGATTCTCAGGCCTGCTTTTCGAAGCCAACCCTTGACCCATGCCAATCCAACACCACATCACGGCCTCTGACCGCTGCCCAGCCAAGTTTGATTATTCCCCTATCGTCATGACAAGAATCCGCGTTTCTGGCTAGGAGCATGCATCTCCCCTCTGCGGTCTGCAGTATGTATTGTTCGGGTTTGACAACCAGTTCGTCAACATCGTCATCGTCGTCCTCTTCGTTCTCTCCATCATTCTCTTCAGCTCCTCCTTCAAAATCCCCTCGCTCAACCCCAAATACCAGGTCAGGGAAGATGTTCAAAGCTCCACAATCAACATATAGCATCTCATTGCCATCTCTGGCTTGCTGTTCAGTACTGGTAGCCAGTAGCAAGACGTCCCAAATGCCTTTCGGAACATGGATATATGGTGTGCTTAGATCGAGACTGGCGGATTCAGCAGGCATGGAGATCATACCGCTCTTTCTTATGCCGATACCGAGCAAAGGGAGTTGGGCGCCGAGAATGGGCTGGAGATGTAGTCGTTCCTGTTGCATCCAAATGAATCTGTCGGCAGCCTGCGACCATGAATCTGATTCAGAAATGGTGTAGAAAGTGGCGGTGCCGGACTGTGAACTGTTGAGAGGGATGTTGACGAGTATGGTTTCTTGAATGGGTCCTCCGGTGCTATAGCTAGCTATTGAGTTTTGGAGGTGCTCGAGAGGCTTTAAGTCGAAGACAGGAGGAGAGTTGATGAAAGTGTAGTGAAGATCATGGTCTAGCTATTGGTTTGTTAGGTTGGTCTAGAGTAACGTAGGGTCAATCTGAGCATACTGTAATGGGGATCACACGGCCAGACGCTGGCTTAGGGTCCAGCAAAGGCTTCTGCTGTTGTAGCGATGGGTCCAGGTACGCAGCCTCCACGAGAAGCGGCAAAGTTGTGAAGAGTATGTTTCGAAGCATTTTGGTGGTGGTGGAACTGAGAGTAGTTTTCGTGTACTCAAGCGTGAGCAGTCAAGAAGGACTCTTATCATCTCACACCTACGCAAGGATTCGCTTTGTCCGCGCCGCAATACACCGCGCCTCACCCGATTATCTCATCATCTGGACCTATTGCGCGTTCGCATTGCTATTTATCGGGGTCGTGAACCTCGCGGTTGGGTGATTTACCCTTGTAGCGCCTGCAGTTCGCGTGTGGTTCGTCCGCTGCAATGAATGCGACCGGGGTTTACGTGGGGCGCGTTGCACCTGAAACTATAGTTGGGCGCGACGACAACGAACGCATGTTAATTTCTTCTTATGTCATCCTAATGGCATATATTTGTGGGGTCCAAACGGGTTGGGGAGATAGATGCGTCTGCTGTGCTGACCAGAATAGTAACGCATCAAGAGCCAATGTGTGACATCTCTTCGGAGAACTCGCCGTTGTATGTTCACGTGAACCAATTTTCTCTCATGTCTGGATCGTTGTTGTTGTACTTGGGTTTCTTCATGAAGACGCGTCCACCTCTTTGTAACGATGAGTCCTCCCTGAGCAGGAGCGGCTTTGGACTAAAAAAGACGTCGTTGTCACACCAACACACTGGAAACGTATCTCGTAGCAAGGAAGCAGGAAGAAGCAGCACGGCTGAAGAGGTTGGTCACCCACGGCATTAACGGGCAACAGTGGAAGCTTTACTTGTCGTCGCAGAACTCTTCGGTGTCATTGCTTGTTGCCGCAGATGAGCTGTGTGGAATGGGTGCCACAGGAAGTGCGATCAATACGGAACATCGAAAACGCATCATCTGTCGACTCACAAAACCTTTTGTTTGTGGAGGATCGGTATAGCCACGGTAATCTGTTGTGTTGAGAGAACGCTGGTGGACAAGAGCGACACGCGTCGGAAGCGACCAACCGGCCGGGCCATCTCCGCCGCGGGTGTCAACGTCGGGGCCCCAGCTGCGACAGCTGTCAACTCTCCAACCTCGAAACCAACCATGGTAAACCTCACAATTCGCCTATCGATGTCAACAATGTATATGCCCGAGTAGATGGACAGGCTGCTTTTTCTGCCTAAAGCTTCGCTTCGGATCTCCACGGCCCGCAACAAGTGCTGTCAGCGACCCGGCAAACATGCCGCCCAAGGGGATGGAGAACTAATCGTGGCATCACGATTGTAGCTGCAGCCTGTGCATGGCCGCAACTATGTCGTCAGCAAAGGCCCTTCCACGGTACTGATCCTTCCGCAGGGCTCTTCTGGAATGCGATGCTGGCCGTCATTTCCCTCTCGAGAGCCAAGCGTTCTGCCGTTTCATGAGCGCGCGCTCGCCTCCAGCGACGGTGAATTGACCTGCAACGAACGAACAAGTCTTGACTGTCTCAACGAGGCTGTGTAAAGCGGCGGGAAATCAACGGACGCGCAATTCACTCGCTATCAAGACGTCTACCAGGCATGCTCCTGCCAGTCATTGGCTTTGTTGCCCCTGACCAAGGCTCGGCGGGCTTCTGCTAATTCACGACTATGGACTTGGCTGCTTGGTCTCCGCGATTCCTGCGCGCATGCCAACACCCATCGACTTGGCGCGCAGCGGCGCCAGACAGACCATGAGGGTTGGCAAGTTCCACATGTAGCACTCGGGGGAACCAAGAAATTGCTCTGTTGCCGCTTCAAATAGTTTGACCATCCCGGCTTCTACCTCAACAGTTGCCTGTTCTCTGTGTGAGATTTACCTTTCCTACTTTACCAGTCACTCGTTAGACTTCCAATCGCTCTTCTATTTGCCTTTTAATTCCACTTCTTCTCCAACTCCAGTCATGAAGGCCTGTGTCGTCTTCTCCGTGCTGGGTGCCGCTGTTGCCCCAGCATTCGCCAGTGTTGTCGCCCGTCAATCCAAGGGAAACCTACCACCAGTCACCGTTCGAGGCAACGCCTTCTTCGCCGGTGATGAGCGATTCTACGTCCGCGGTGTCGCCTACCAGCCAGGTTTGTTGTCACAAAACAATAACAACAGCAACACGATACTAATGCATCTTAGGTGGTGCGGCCGACGCTGCCGATCCGCTGCTCGACCTCGAGGGTCTCAAACGCGATGTTGAGAACTTCAAATCGCTCGGCATCAACACCATCCGTATCTACACCATCGACAACTCTCAAAACCACGACGAGGGTATGAAGATGCTCGATGACGCCGGTATCTACTTGGCGCTCGATGCCAACACACCCGACTACTCTCTCAACCGAGAGAACGAGGACACTCTCCACCGTTCGTACAACGATGTTTACCTGCAATCCGTCTTTGCTACCATTGACGCGTTTGCCGACTACAACAACTTGCTCCTCTTCTTTTCCGGAAACGAGGTCATCAACGCGAGGAACAACACCAACGCTGCTCCTTACATCAAGGCCGTTACTCGTGACATGAAGCAGTACATCTCTAACAGGCACAACCGTGTCATTCCCGTCGGATACTCGGCTGCTGATGTTGCTGAGAACATCGAGGCCCAAGCCCTCTACTTCAACTGCGGTACTGATGACGAGCGCTCCGACTTCTTTGCCTTCAACGACTACTCGTGGTGCGACCCTTCGTCTTTCACCGAGTCTGGATGGGACGCCAAGGTCAGGACGTACAGCGACTACAGCAAGCCCATCTTCCTGTCTGAGTTTGGCTGCATCACCAACCAGCGCAACTGGGGTGAGATTGAGGCTTTGTACTCGACAAACATGACGGGTGTCTACTCTGGTGGTCTCGTCTACGAGTACACTGTCGAGCCCAACGGTTACGGTCTTGTCGAGGTCGGCAGCAACGGCGACATTGAGCCCAACGCGGACTTTGAGCGTCTTGCCGAGGCTTATAAGGCGACTGCTAACCCTCGCGGCGACGGTGGCTTCAGGGAGAACGGCGAGGCGTCCGAGTGCCCTGCTGAGTCTGATGAATGGCACGTCGAGGGCACCTCCCTCCCTGCTATCCCTGCCAACGCTGTCAAGTTCATGGACGAAGGTGCTGGTGAGGGACCCGGTCTCGAGGGTGATGGCTCGCACTTTGCTGGCGAACCCAGCGAGTCTACTGCTACCCCCGGATCTGGCAACCCCACTCGCTCGCCTACTCCCGGCTCCACTGGCAGTGCTGGCAACAACGAGGGTGCTGCGGCTGGTCTCGATGTGCCCCTTCGTTTCGTCGGCATGATCGCAGCCAGCGCTCTTTTCGGCGCTGTCCTTGTCTTCTAAGCGTAACGTGTGAGTATTCGTATTGAAAAGATGTAGAGCACTTGTTTTCTGGTTTCTGGAGTTTTTTTTTGACTGCCGTTGTCGGCATTACATATATACCTGATTCGTCATTGCAGGCGCAGGGCCTTTTGTATAGTAATACATATACGACAATAGCTCTTTTCCCAGTATCCGCTTGCTCGACGTGAATGCGGTGATTCTAATTGATGCTACGGACGTGAATGTGGTGGTGGTGGTGGTGAAAGTGAGGGCGTAGGCTAGCGGCGTTTTGGACCCTGGTTCTCGAAGGCAGCAATGGAAGCTTCCACGGTTGTGATTGTACAATTACCCAGTTTCTTTCATCTTCAACCATGAGCAAGCCTCTATAAAAGGTCCCAGACGCCCAAACCCTCCCGTCGCTTCCACGCCTGTTTTTCCGCTCAACAACGTATTACCCCGCCATGGACGACGCCCGCAAAGGCGACGCCGCGCTCAGCGCAAGCAAGCCCGAAGAAGCGATTGAGCACTACACCAAGGCTCTTTCAGTCAATCCCGCAGCCGTCAAGTACTACATCGGTCGCGCCACAGCTTACCAGCGTACTTCCAAATATGCCGAGTCCCTCAGCGACGCCGAACTCGCCGTCGTCTTCGCTAAGAAACGCGGCTCGCGCGAACTCATCAAGGACGCCCAATTCCGACGCGCCGTCGCCTTGTTCCACCTCGGAAAATACGCAGATGCCGAGTACTTGCTGAAGATTGTGAAGGGGCTTGATGAAAAGGACAAGATGCTGCCCATCTGGGAGGCCAAGGTCGCAACCAAGCTGAAGGATGTTCCGCACGACGATGAGAAGAGGAGCATCACTATCAAGGAGACACCAGACGTCGACATGCCCAGTACTCCAGCACCTGCTGCACCCCCCAAGGCTTCAGAGCCCGCTTCGACCCCAGTCCAGGCCCCAAAGCCTGTTGCGCCGACCCCGAAAGACAAGATCAAGACTGACTGGTACCAGTCGCCTGAAGTTGTCACGCTTACTATCATGGCCAAAGGCATACCCAACGACAAACTGAGCGTCGAGTTCGAAGAACGATCCGTGTCCGTCTCGTTCCCCATCGTCGGCTCATCGTCAGAATACAGCTACAGCGCCGACCCTCTATACGAAAAGATCGACCCCTCGCAATCCAAATTCCGAGTCACGCCCACCAAGTTGGAGATTACAATGCGAAAGGCAACTACCGGTCTGAAATGGCATGACCTCGAGCGTCCCGACGGCCACGTTACCACTACCCAAGCCTCCGATGCGACTCTCGCCGTCCGCACCACCAAGGACACAGCTCCTGCATACCCAACATCCTCCAAGTCAGGCGCAAAGAATTGGGACAAGGTGGTAGTCAATGATCTCGACGACAAAGACGAAATTGAAGGCGATGAGACATCGCACTTTTTCAAGCAGCTGTACAGCGGCGCTACACCTGAGCAGCAGCGCGCCATGATGAAAAGCTACCAGGAAAGCGGTGGTACAGTGTTGAGCACCGACTGGAGCAACGTTGGCAACAAGACCGTGGTACCCGAACCACCTGAGGGCATGGAGGCGAAGAAATATTCTGGATAATATACGCCTCGCAGCCAAAGTATGAGTGTTTTCTTTCTTCGTCCTCATCATATGAAGCATAGCAAGGTGTTTTTGGGTCGGCAATGGGATTCATGACCACGTAGCTCACGTAGGATACGACATGTTATTATGTACTGGTATCTAAAATGTTTCTCTGAATAATTTCGCAGCATTTCAGACCTTGCTGATGACACCAAGAAACTCGTGACCTCGCGTCATGCATGCACCGAAGATCCGCGCTGACATTTACATGGTTCGTAATGGAGGGGCGGGCGCCGCGAGCTGCAGGGTTCCCCACAAACGTCATAGCGGTTGCTTTGCGACTTGCCTTCGTGCTTCTCACACCATATAAGCTTACGAGCGATGCGATTTTTTGCTTTCATAACCCACGCTCCTCTATACATGAAACTAGAGGCAGGTTGAAGACAGCCTCTATAAATGTTCGCCAGAGCTGTGCGTGCATCGTCGACTATCCCTAAACCAAATTTTGGTGCACCATTCACACCAATTTACGTTGCGCGTTCGAGGCATCTTGGCCTTCCACGTTCGAGCACATTTGGAACCATGGCTACCGGGTCCGAAATTCATTTGCAGGCATCGCAAAAGCCACAATACTATGTCAACGGGCTGAGACCCGAAAGTGCACAGAAGGCAAGCCAGTTGTTGCAAACAAACCATGAGAAGCACCACATTTTCTTCAATCAGAGCGGATTCCATGTAAGATAGCAATGCTCATTATAATATGTTAAATACTCACAACTCCCATCTAGAACCATATTGCCCACCATCTTCTCATCCTATTTGCGCTCAACGCCTCACCAGAAGAACTCCAAAAAGCGTACGATGCGAACGTAACTTATCAACGCCCACCCGAGCCTCTCAAAGAGTCTATCGTCGATGACATGCACGACCCTGAGCGCTTCAAGTCGTATCTTGGACAGGAGAAATACTATCATGATTTCCTTGTCTATTTCCAACAAGAGATTAATAAAACCGGCTGGCAACGCGTACTACAAGAAAATCTGTTCGCAGAAACCGAACACGCAGATGACATGCTAGTACGGATGTACGCCGGATTCCTTCACCCCATCATACATCTCGGGTTCGGCATCGAGTTCCAACAGCCAGCCATCATCGCAAAGGCGCTGGCGCAAGCCGCTGTACACGACAATTGGATGGCACCGCTATTTCATGGATGCGAGAAAGCCGCTAAAGAGATAAGAGGTAAAGATGGGTCGAGGAAGACCATCGTGCAGATACTGGATGAGTGCAAGAAAGACGACAAGTTGAGCAAATCAGCGCACTTTGAAGATGGAAATAAGATCCGTGACGGAATCCTGAAGAGAGCACCAGAAGAGATGATTAAGAATGCGGTGCAGTATACAGTCAAAGAGGAGGAACTAGAAGAGAAGACTGCAGAGATGATCAACGCCGCTGGTATGTCATGGACTCGTTTCCAATCTAACTGTATTCTACGTCTTTGTACATCATCATACTAACGCAGACACAACGACAGTATACTACACGCCCGCCGCCCAACGTCCACCCCACCAAGTCAAGTTCGACTTTTTCTACATGCATTGCGTGAACTCCAGCATCTTCTTCTCCGCCTTCCTCTCTCCCGCCTCCTCTCTATCACCCGCCATCCAGCGCCGCCTTTTAGAGTGGAAAGTCTGGAACGACATCACCATGTATGTGTCGCGCGGCTGCCCATCCCTCCTCATCAACGAGATCAACAGCTACGCGCCGACAAAAGATAGTGGTATGGGTGAAGTCATCAAGAGGGTGAATAAAGTGGAAGACGATGGACATGCTTGTAAGCTTGTAAGGGCGATCGCTAATGCAGAGGCGGTTTGCAAGAAGTGGGAGGGTAAAGAGGGAATGTTAATCAAGGGGGACATGTGGAGAAAGATTGGGCACATGGCGTTGGATTCTGTAGAGGCTGGAGAGCCACATTGGGTGAGAAGTTGTGGATTCAAGGAGGCGTGGGAGAAGATTCCGTTGCGGGACGGGGCGAGGCTGTGAGGGCTTAACAGGTCATGGGATTGGCAGTGGTACAATCCATCTCCATGGATCGCACATGGTTTCCTAGCGATATAGGACATCATGAGAAATTGCCTGCTTCTTACGATGCGCGCGTAGTCCTGCAGGAGAAAGACCGGACTACAGACGGACAGTTATAGGCAATACCAAACACCTGTTTTAATGACATTGATAGTTCCCAATCTCTTGGGACCGGTTCGCAGTAGCAGTGAAAGCAGTTATTGGCTCATGTTTGGTATACTATGCTTTTGTTTGCCAAGTCCTTCTACCTGTCAAAGCATGATAGGAAATCATGTTGATGACAAGAGCAAAGAAGAGCAGTACGTATTCAGATACTATGCTCCCCTGAACTGGCCCCAACTCTTCCCACGCAGTACATATTACATCAGATCGATCGATCGTACTAAGCTGATATCGTGCTTATTGTGTTGTTGGGCCTATACATTCATGCCTTCCTATCTCTCGTGTCACCGTGCTATCGATACATAACAGCCTTTCCCGGGTGTCGCAGATGCACGGCTCGACGGCGCGATGTGGCGGCGGCGCAAAAGAAAAACAGGGAGCAACGTAGCCCGTCATACTATCTGTGGAACAGTTGGGCGCAAGCTCGTGGCGTGGATCTGGGTGCGCTATCGATACACAGCTTTTCCTTGCTTAGATCTACGCGACTTTGCTCGACAAATCTTAAGACAAACATGACGAGCAGAGTTACACATGCTGATCCTTGTCTCACACGCTCCCAGCACAAGTCGAGGGTAGCATGAGTTTGACGTTGTTCCAGAAAACCATGCCTTGAAACATTTCAGGCAGGCTCCGAGGGTTGAGCCAATGGCAGCTGCGGGGTACCTGAGCAAAGGCGTGTTTTACGCATGTGCCTGAGAATGACATCCGGGATCTGTGCTTCAAGCATTACTATGTGTGCGAGAATAGGAGGGGTGTGAGACGAGTGACAGGTTTTTCTTAGAGAGTACTCATTTACCCAGCCGCGATATGTCGTCGTGACGGGGGGTGGGCGCTGCGCTCAGCTCCTGCTGACTTGGACCTAGGCTATAGCAGGCACAGATATCGTTCCTGCACTATTCCTGTTCCATCATGCTTTCTCGAGGAGGCTGAGAAGGGATCAGCTGCGTATGAGCGCGCAAGAATAGCGCCGGCCCATTATTTGGCGGGAGACAGTTTAGCCAGCGGCAACACATGACGCCCTTGTGAGCGCTACTGCAGGAACAGAAAAACCGCTATCGATAGGCTGTATGGTGCCGGGGCGGGAATTACAGCACACGAGGCGAGGGGCGTGGCGCTTATGCCTTGCGCCCAACCACGACTTGCGCTCCTGGGAGAAGAGGGGTCCTGGAGAAGGTCGTGCGACCGCTGTGCCGCACAAGGAGGAACTGAGGATTCTTTTGGACTGCGCGCAGGACGCCGTGTCGTGACAAGTCACCACCAAGCAACCAAGCAGAGTAGCGAGATGGCGAGAAGACGTTACGCTTCGCCGCGTTATTGCCGCGCCGGCTTGGAGGTATTTGGCGCAATCTCATCTGCTCCGGGTTCCCGCTCGAATGGAGGCAGGCAGCCGCTCACCGACTATGCAGAGAAGGGGGAGCAGTGGAAGCGTCGTTTTGGCGTGGTGCAAACAGCCGTAGAACAGCAGGTGGCCAAAGATCAACCACCCCTCGCGGAAAAGAAAAGGAGTCGGAGGCATTGAATGATCGCGATGACATGGACGCCTCTGCCGACATCCGCATTGCGATTGCGATGTGCCATTTCAGTGGGTCGTCATGATGTCGCCGCCGTCAGTGCAGTATTTTGGGGCCGCCAGCGAGTGGCAGCTCTCTTAGGCTGGAGATTGCGATGCTGCGACGGCGCACGGTTTGCCGCCAATTCAGGTACCCAGACTACCTATACCAAACAAAGACGATAGGAAGCGATGATCCGGCCTGATTGTGTCACGCCGACCGGTGTTACGTGCAACGACCTACCGAATACGCAGATGAGCAAGGTGCGCGAGAGTGGAGTGGATCAATTAGGCCATGAGATGGTGAAGCAGAGGCGTCGACGACGGAAGCGGCGCGGGTGCTTCACGATCACCAGCATCATGAGTGATTGCCGCCTCCACAGAATGCGGCTCCAAAGTGCTCGATTCATTTGGCTCACACAAGGCTGCCCGCCGGCACTCTTCAAATCCATGTGCTGGATCCCCTTACTGACATGTTTCAGCTTACTATTTCTGGACTAGCGGCCGGTGCGCAGCGCCTCACGGTCCAACGAGAGCATCGCAGCAGCCTCCCAGGGCATCCCATGCTCCATGGACTAATCTAGGGTTTCACCTCGCTAAACCAAAGCATTCCTTCATCTCCCCTAAAAAGAGCCTCTAGCACTGATCAAGCGTGATAACCGCTCGTTTCCCCATCTCTCCCGTATCTCATCTCCTTCTTTTCCCTTCCTTTACCGCGTTCATTCTTTCGCTCTGTCACTCCTTTGGCACCACCAGCAACAATCGCTATCCATCAATCTAGTTGTCTTCGCGACAACGCTACACTCATTTCTGTGTCTATCCAACTTGAAGCTCGGGAGAATCCTGGAGGCTGAGGTTATTCACTTCGTCAACGTACACGGAAACGCCATCGATACTATTCCGACGACATAGTGGAAAAAGCATTCGCCTTTTGTCTCAAAAGTCACCCTTATCGCAAGAGTACTCCACCACTTCTACACTCAACCCAAGCCGACTACACTCTCAACCATGAAGTCTGTCGCATCCATCGCCGCGGCAGCTATGCTGTCCGGCTCTGCCAACGCTTTCTGGCGCATGCCCTGCCACGACCGCACTGCCCTCGCACGTCTGGACCCCATCGTTGACGAAGGAACTGCTTCCTCCCACGCCCACACCATCCACGGTGGAAGCAGTAAGTGAAGACTGTCCGCTTCTGATTTGACCTCCCACGCCAGGCGCATGGTGGACGAGCATCTTCTCTGGACATGTCAGGGCACCTCAAAACAAGGAGCCCCTGACCTGTCCAGTTGTATGCGAGTCATTCATGCGATGACCTGCATGTGGGTGTCTGAATCAGGGGCAAGTTTGCGGATGATTACAGCTTACTAACAACCGACAGACTTCGCTGAGACGACCACCTATGACATGCTCCGTGAGTCGGAGTGCACTTCGTGCCAGTTCGACGACGACAAGTCCGCCTACTGGACCCCCTCCCTCCACTTTGTCCACGAGGGTGGCAAGACTGAGATCGTCCCCCAGGTTGGTGGTATGCTCGCATACTACCTCCTCCTCGGCGATGACCTGAAGGCCTTCCCTGAGGGCTTCCAGATGCTCGCAGGTGACTCCCGTCTCCGTAACTTCACCGGCCCGGTTCCTGACCCGCCAACCTCTGCCTGGACCGCCGACGACATGACCCAGTTGTCTCTCGGCCAGAAGTCCATTGGCTTCAACTGCCTCAACTACAACAAGGCACCCGAGGGCTCGCGCTACCGCCACTTCCTCCCCACCAAGGACTACATGGACGAGAACTGCGCCAACGGTATCCGTGCCGAGATCATGTTCCCCTCGTGCTGGAACGGCAAGGACAAGACCGCCGACGACCACAAGAGCCACATGGCCTACCCTAACATGATTGACGGTGGCTCGTGCCCTGAGGGCTTCGACACTCGTGTTCCCTCTCTCTTCTACGAGACTATCTGGAACACCTACAAGTTCAAGGACTCCCCCGGTCAGTTCGTGTGGTCCAACGGTGACCCAACTGGTATGCAAACCCAATATTTCTGTGTCGATTCACAACTAACGCAAGATAGGTTACGGATACCACGCTGATTTCATCAACGGATGGAACATCGACACCCTCCAGTCTGCCGTCTCCACCTGCACCAACCCCTCTGGTCGCGTTGAGGACTGCCCAGTCTTCTCCGGTTCCCTCCAAACTGAGTCTGAGCAGGCCACCTGCAAGATCCAGTCCATGCCCAAGATCCTATCTGTCGATGACTGCGCCGGTCCTTCCAACGGTCTCTGCGGTAACGTCCCCGTTCAATACGGACCCGAGTATGCCGCACCCCTTGAGGGAGGAGACAAGGACGACGAGGAGCCCATCACTCCTACTCTGTCCTCTGTTGCCCCTGTGCCCACTCAGTCCTACGCCCCTGCTCGCTCCATGGGCGCTGGTGGTATCTCCGTCTACAACGTTGAGAGCCCTTCCACCATGGTCAAGTCCAGCTCCAGCGCTGACTACGGCAACTACCCCGCCGCACCTGCCGTCACTCCTCTTGCTGACATCGTTGATGCTGTCACGGGTGACGAGGCTGTCTCTACCTCTACCTACACCAAGGACGGTGTCGTATACGAGGTTGCCATCGTTGAGGTTGTCGTTACCACCACTGTTGGTGCCGACTACCGCCGACACGCACACAAGCACCGCCGTGGTCACTTCGGCCGCAACTAAGTCTTTTCCTTTCCAAAAGAAACAAATAAGAGACTTTGATGATAGCACCCAAAGCATTCTTCAGCACATGGTTCTTGCATGCGTATCGGCGTTCTCCTACGACCGCAAACGACGACAACTGAAAAGACACTTCATCCTTGCTGCCTAGCTCCCAGGTATCCATTCCCGTCCCCGTACTCCCGTAGCGGGGGGCGGGGTGGGCGTGTTGACCTCAACTTTCAAGACATGTAGCTATGGCGAAGGCAGAAACAATTTTTCTCTTTGTCTGATTCTTACCTTTCTGTACTATCTTGTTTTTTCTTGAAGTGTTGGTTGATGTTTGTTGGGGAAAAGGCTGTAGGAAGGCTGCGCCAGATCACAGTTCTGTGTATCCCGTAGGGACAAGAAAGAAAGTGGATCTTAGAAACAAAGGAGTGATGTAGATTTGCGCACGATACCATTGAATCTGTTTTTTTGCTTTGTTGTAAACGTTATGCCTTTCTACCTTACGACCCATGGATGATCCGAAGTTTATCGAATCTTGATTCCTGAGATCTTGGTGATGTGGTGGTAATGAGGGGAGAGGCTGCCTCAACCTGGGACTGACACTCGTCTGCGACCTTTCTTCAGCATGTTGTTATCGTTCCGCTGTGACCTGTTATGCTGGCGTTCTCTTGCTCGTCGTTTGAAGCATACACCAAACAACATCTTCGGTAGGCGATACTCATGCACTCCGTTCTTGATTATGAGTCGTTGAGCTTGGCGCAAGTGTTCTTCCTCTTTACGTGAGCTGATCACATCAATGTTGCAATCGAAGAGCTTCGTTCCCGAGGCTCCAATATCCCCTGCTATTTGCCGAAATGCTCACTTATTGATCACTGTCCGATTGAGGCACGTCGTCTCGTTGTAAGTGAATATTCTCGCAAACGGTGTATGGCCTCGGTGTCTTGTGTACATGAAGTACTAAACCAGGTCTGATATGCTCTTCGACATGTAAAGTGTGGTGGGGTTGTGGCGAGTCTACGGTTGAATATGCATCTGTGACAGCATCTTTATGAATTGCATCAATCACCCTCTACAGATGAGCTGTCCTTTTCTTTCAAGTACAAGCCCTCCTGTAAATGGCAAGCGTCCAATCAATTGGTCTGTTCCTTCTGTATCATATTCCTTATCGACGACACGTACAACACAGTGATCATCTTGCGTTACTGTTTCCCTGAATATGTTCGGATTCCGAACAGCGTCTACTATAAATCCACAGACAGGCTTCGTTACTCTCTCTTTCTTTCCAAAACGCCTACCAAAATACGGCGGCGGACCCCCACAGTCGAACTACGAGATGGATTTCTCCCGCCTCCAGGCTATTATATCCGAATTCAACTCTACAAACAACAATGCAACCAGCACAAGCGTGCCATCAACAGTACTAGAGATGTTTGTTCCAGGCTACAGCACAATCGCTCAACTAACATTCCGCTATCTGGGTTTCGACATCGGCGTCTTTGTCACGGGATGGCTTGTCCTCTTTGGCCTGTATCACGGAGCCATCTTTACTTACGGCCGAGCTTACGACTATTTCACCGTCTACTACACGTCGTCCGTCGTTATTGACAAATCCGATATCCTGTACGACCACGTCATGAGCTGGATAGCGGTGCAGCACCTGACGACATCTAGTAGACGTCTGACTGCAGCTACCCGCCACGTTCGCGGAATCGAAGACGCAGATGATAGTGACGACGGATTGGATGAATATGGAATTTTCAATAATGTGAAGTGGGCGGGCAACATACCACCAGTATATCAGCCCAGTTTCGATGACTACAACTTTTATCACCAGGGTCGATGGTTTAGTTTTGCGCGTGTCAAGAAGGAGCAGACCCGTGGACGGAGAGACAGTTACGATAAGCAGGTTGTACTGTGCTGCAGGGGGAGGGGAACTGAGCCTATTAAGCAACTGCTTATCTACGTCAAAAGGTGGAGTCTTAACAAGGCAAGTACAACTACATCGATTTATCAAGCTCCAAATCAAAACGGTCGCGGGGAGCGGTACTGGAGACGTCAGTCTAGGCGCTCGTCACGGCCACTTAGCACGGTAGCTCTAGACCAGCAATAGAAAGGTAGGATCGTTGCGGATATCAACGAGTATCTCAACCCTGCCACGGCGCGTTGGTATGCCGCACGTGGCATCCCTCATCGCCGTGGCTATCTCTTCCATGGGCCACCAGGAACAGGGAAAACATCGCTTTCTTTTGCTCTAGCTGGCATATTCGGTCTGGATGTGTACTGCCTCTCTCTCAACGACGGCATCACCGAGTCCGAGCTGAGTTCCTTACTCAACGAACTTCCTCGTCGATGTTTCCTTCTCCTTGAAGACATCGACGCTGCGGGTATTCGGCGTGAGGGTCTTGCATCTCCCGTTCTAGCTACCGATGATACCACAGTTGTTCTTGAGGCACACAAGATTGGAACACAGGACAAGCCAGGTATTACACCATCGAAAGCTCATAGTATTCTTGCGTGGCCTCTGATACTAGTTAGGTTGCCCTTCAGTCTCTTCACCCGGTTTGCGAAGCAGGAGGAGCCAGTAAAGGACCCCGCACTTCCAGAATCTCCAAAAAAGTCTGCGCATAAGGCAGTGGCGAACGTAGCCGAAAAGTCACTTTCAGAAGCAACGGATAAGCCAGTTTCAACAGAAGTCTCAAGAGGAAGTTTGGGCTCCATAAGTCTAAGTGGACTGCTCAATGTCATCGATGGTGCCGCTTCCCATGAGGGTCATGTGCTCATCATGACTACCAATACACCAGACAAGCTGGATGACGCTTTAACCCGACCGGGTCGCGTTGATCTCTAGATCGGCTTCACACTCGCCACGCGCGATCAGATCCGCGACGTGTACATGCGCATGTTCAACGCCGACACCGCCATATCTGAGATTACCGCTGAGACCGAAATCGCTATGGATAATGGAATACCCGCAAATGCATTCGGAACCCACGAACTCCTCGGTATCTGCCTTCCCAGGAAATCCGTTGCCGCCACCCTCGAGCTAGGCAAGCTCGGGGAGATAGCACAGCATTTTGCTGATGCCTTACCCGAGAAAATCTTCTCGCCTGCGGAGGTCCAAGGCTATTTGCTGATGCACAAGATGGAGCCAAAGAAGGCGATAGAGGAAGTGAGCAAGTGGAACGATGAGATGCTTGAGATGATGAAGAAGAAGAAGGGAAACAAGCTTGTAGTTGCTTGATGAAAGGCGGAAGGCAGAAACAGAGCACACTGCAAGGTTCGCACTATGTTTATAGGAATAACGGGTCCATGTACCTTTATCAACATCACCAAGGGTGCCTTCTTTAACAACGAGGGGGCTCAGGTGTCTCGATCAAGATTGCATGCGCATTGTACTGTGGCCTACGCATTACAATGTTACCAAGATGCTGGCTTCTCAACCTCTGTATACTAGGTATCCATGTATAACCAGCTTGAGAAAGGATGTGTTGTGTATTGTGGTTCATTGAGGCAAGCGGCGGTACGTCGATGGCTGGCTTTTGTCAACGAGATGTTGAGACGAGGCGTTTCATCAGGAAGAGCGAATGCTAGAACCGAAGAGATCGCGGGCTAAAGGCGCAGGCGCTGGAAGGTACGCCAACATAAAGGTATTGTACCAGAAGATTGGCTGTCTCGAGTCGTTCTGTGATATTGTGAGGATGTGTGTACGGCAATGTCTCTACGCAAATTATCACCATGGTACGTAGTCCGTATCTGGTCTTTGACGCTCAGGGAGTAATGAGACTGATGCAACTGCGATGACCGAGATCTGGTGCATCGATTGTCGTTGAACTGAGCTGTGAAGCAGCGTCTCAGGTCGTAACCTTGTCGCATATTGTTCTTCGGATTTCCTCGCTGCGCGTCATCAGCACTCATGTACGCTTGCGCAAACCCACCTTTGCGTTGCGCAAAACAAATTGGTGGCTTGCAGTCTCCCCTGCGGAAGGATGCTAGGTGCATCGGCGTGCTACACCTGGCTCACGAATCCTGCATCCAGCAGAAGTGCGATTATGTCATGTCTGAGTGGCTTTCCTATCCTCAAAGCTGAGCAGCTATGTCATACTTGGGTCCGCATCGTTAAAGATGCTCAGGCGAAACGGATAGCTCGCCTGATGACGAACGTCTGCTGGGGCAGTCAAATGTGGTGGTGTGTTTGTCGATCGTTTTCGATGACGATCTATTTCGAGAACAGTTTTCCTGCCACCGTTTTCAATGAAATAAGCGACATGACATCATATGTGGGCAGCGAGAAGGTGGTCAGCGCTGTATTGATCGGTAAGGGTCTCGAACAGTTGTAGGCAATATTGGACGAATCTGGAGCACTTTCGCAATGTGGTAGTTGCTCTGTGAGTGACGTGGGTAGGGCCTCTTGCGTCAGTCGCGTGCATCCGACTTAGAAAACGTCAAACTCCACTCGAAACGTCAGTCAGTCAGTCAGTGCCGATGCCGATGGCGATGGACTCGGCACACGTTCCGGATTGACATGGCTCCTCGGGACAGTTCCACTGGAGGGTTAGCATTCATCGCTGATGCAGACCTCGACTCGACGAGTAACATCATAACCCACAAAAGCGCAAACAGCCGTAGCCCCCTGCATCGTCGCAAGAACGTAGCGAACAGACTAACGGGGCCCTTTAGACGGGGAGCTGCCTTGGTGGGAAGGACGTGGTGTGGGGTGACCAAAACCGTCAATGGGGATGAAGATCTGCGGGTTGGCATGACGTTCCGCAAGCACGGTTGGAAAGGGACTAGAGCGGTCGAAGTGGTCCATCTCGATCCTGACACGAACTTGCGATATACGGCGAGGTTGAGCAGAATCCCAGCGATGAGATTGAGGATTTGGAGATGTGCGTTCAGCACGAGTGGTCTAGACGTAGGGTAGCGGCATCGGGGATTTGGAGAAGCGATCGAAGGAGTGTTTCGCAAGGAGGTTGGGATATTCGACTCGATGCTGTCAAAGAGGCAGTAGCTTTTGATTTGACAGGCAGATTATGCAGCATGAAGATCTCTTGCTGTGGGACACAAATTCTGTCCAAATTCTGTCCAAATTCTTTAGATTAATTGCACGAATTCCATTGGAGGATAGGGTGATGATCACAGGCCTAGACATCTAGCCTGTGTGATTTACAGCGAGGGCGTGGATCTCCCTTGAGATGCGTTCCAGAATATACGGCCAAGTCCAGAGGGTTCCAGCCTCGTGAGACAGGCTGAGGCTGTCGGTTTGGATACGCCCTAGGCTGCAGCGTAGAGGGCGTGGTCAGACGACATCGTCATCACAACGGTACCTGCGTCTTTTGTGACCACGGCGGAGCGCGAAGACCCTGCATGACGATGTCTGAGGCTGAAAGGAAGCCAACACGGACAAACGTCAGAAGTGACGAAGTCCAGCCAGAGTATGTTGCCCGGGAGCGGTTACAGTGGAGGCTATGAACGCAACGGGTGTGCGGTAGCGCGAGACCCTGCTTTTGCGAAAGAGGCGCTAGGCCCGCTTATACATAGCCATGCAGGATTCCCGGGCTTATCTTTGCCGAACTTGGACAAGATGACGTTCTTTGGCGCACGGAAACTTTGGGGCGCTGGAGCTGGGAGGATCTTTCATTCTGCTGGGCCGCATATCTCTTGTGGCATGCGGGTTTCGAAGTTGAGCCATGGCGGTGTCTGACGTCGCTGGGGGACTCTGTGCTCCACGAAGCGCGCAGACAGCCGTGCCGTTCGACTTTTGACATAGCTGCTGCGTCATGGAGTCTGGGCGAGGCAGCACAGCTTCATACGGGCACCCCGAATATGATGACTCTACCATGGGAGAAATAGCAAGTATGCAACATGGGAAATTCGAAATTGCCGCTCGGTGGCTTTCAACAAGGACATTGCGCAGGTGCAGCCGTGTACCGCCTGACCCTCAATCGGCTACACCACTCAACAAACGCGGTACGGCTGTCGTGGGCTGTGAATGGCCAGCCAGCCTTATTGCCAGACAAGACCCCTAAACAGCTTTCCAGGGTGGCCGTCATTGCCGACATCATAAGCAACGTCGTGATCCGTAGGTACTTGACCCGCTCAAAACGGGGATGTCTGTATCGGCGTCTCATCATTGGTGCAGATACCTGCTAGAGCTAGATGGGGAAGGACCCTGTAGATCTGTGATTGTAAGCCTCGAAGATGGCGGCCCACTAGCGCGCTGGCCAGGGTGGATCACTTCTTTGACCCGACAGTCATGGGCCGATCTTTTGCCATGCGCGGTCATGATGGGGGACATGTCGTTCCGCCCGCCTGTGTTGTGCGTGCGTTGTGAGACGGAAGGAGGGTATATAGTTCGCACCCCGCTTGCTGATTCTCTAGAACGCATCACAATCAGCCTGCTCATCGATTCACATACAAATCCTCGATCTCCAGTACCCCCTCCGTACACATCTTATCTTACTTAAGCTTCAAACTATCTCTACTTCACTACATCTTCATACCAAACTTCATCAACAATGTCTGCCATGCCCGAGTCCCGCCAGCAAGTCTACGTCTCCGGAGACGGCTTCTCAGAGCCTATGAGTGCTCAACACAACTTTGCCAACAACTTTGACCTCAACGACCCTGAGCGAGCCATGTCCGACTACCAAAGGTATGTTACTATACTTAACCATGACTCGCAACATTAACTAACCTTTATCAGGATCATGCACGAACACACCAAGCGCCAGCTTAGCACTGCTACAGACTCGGCACGCCGACGAAGCGGCGCTTCATCATCCGACTCAGTCAGCTCCACTAGCTCATAACAATCATCCTGATTGTCATACACAACTATCTATTCGAGCGTCTGCGACGCTATCTGTATTAGCGATGCATTGTCAGAGATCATATTACGATCTATTTCTTTGTCTATGAGAGCGGGAGGCGTGGCGTTTGGGAATTTACATCTGGCTTTCGCCAATGGCATGCACGATACGGTGTTGGATGGATCTAGCGACATCCTGCTCATCTCAATCAATTCAACTTCTCTATCAGGAGATCATCATCACCATACTTAGTTGTTCCACCCGTGTGAATGTTCAACATCTGTTCGCATCTTGTTAACTTAACTAATGAAATGGCAAATGTTTGGGTGTTGATGGCTACCTCGGTACTATGGAACAAACCTGTTTTCATTCGTGTCGCGTCCGCAGCCATTTCGACGCGTGGACTGTTGCTCGGCGCAACTTTACGTACCTAGGCAGCACCTACGATTCAATCACACCGACTACCGCCTTTACTATACCAGCCACGACGTTAGTTACTTTTGTAGCGCGGTCTGTAGGTGCAGACGCCGACAAGATCTACCACATTCACTTGGCTACAGTTCACCGTGGTTGCAGCGGCTAATGCATCTGAAACGGCTCTCGCATCCGCCCAATCACGTCTGTGGACCCCACCGAAGACCCTCGTTCTATAAAATGCACTAACATCGTGCAAGATCTCTTCCAAGGACCCGTGACACGGAAAGAAAAGCCGCTATAACTCCGACGAGGACCAGGGGAATGGATGGTGTGAAGCTTGGATCTTGGAAGGAAGATGCGGGTAGGGTTGAAGGACCGAATGGACTTCAAGTTGTGGTAATGGAGTGTGGGTCCAGGGGCATGCGAGTAAGATTCACATCATGAGGATGTATTTGTAAACAGCTGTGTACTACTCTTGTTTACTACAAAAGAGCGCGTAGTAGGTAACCTGTCAGAGAGCCTCCCATTCCACTGCTTGTGTTGTCAGCCAAATACATCGCGTTTGCACTGCACGACCAAATCTCCAAAGACTCTAATACAAGTCCATATCGTATTAGAACATTCGACTAGGATAATAAGAGAGAATGCTTGCGTCTGTCATGCACATGATTCTTCCTTGCATGCACGAACGTGTTTCCACTTCCAGCACGACCCTTGGACCTACCTAGGTGCCCATGGACTACTACGCAACGTTTTTGCCAACGTGTCTATCACTAATATCTTGGGCATTCAACGAGCCGTAGCAAACACGGAATCAACCCAAGTAGCATTGACACTGACTGCGAAACGCAGGTGGTATCCCAGCGATGTTACAAGCAGCAGCTCCCAGAAAACAGGCTAGTGCGTGATGCCCAACAAGAGCTTCAACCACATAGCAACCGAGCCGATATCGCAAAAGTTCGACATCCTGCCCCTAATGAAGGCTCACGAGAAGAGAAAAAGGCAGGTATCATTTTTCTCTCCGCACGTGTCGCCATGCGAGGGAACCTCCAGAAGCAAGTCATACAGGCACGGGCCGAGTGACTTACCCGGATTGGCCGGATGTTCACGGGTATCTCCACCTGTGACATCGTTGACAAGCTTCAATCCAAACATTCATCAACCACCAGCTGGTCCCCATCAATCGCTTTCAAGGTTTTGCGCTTCATTCTACAAAGCATCCGCATTGTTCATTTGTATTGTCTGCGCGCCCTACGTTGTTTGTGTCGCGTCGCTGTCACTATGCGTCCCTTCGCTCTTACCGCTAGTCTCGCCGGGCTCTGCAGCGCAGCACCATACGGACAGCAGACGCCACTGAAGAACATTCTTGAAAACACCGACAAGAGTGAAAAATACACATATCCAACCGATTTTACCAGGGAGATCATCCCGAAGCCGTTCCATAGCCACAACGACTACTGGCGTGATGTTCCCTTCTACTCGGGATTAAGTCAAGGTGCCATATCAACAGAAGCCGATGTGTGGCTACTGAACGGCACACTATATGTAAGTAATTTCGATCCTTATACGTTGCGATAGCATCCAGTTGAAATCTCGGCTCATTCGTTAAAGGTCGGTCATGAACCCGCTGCCTTGACAGACAAGCGCACTCTCCAGTCTCTATATCTGGAGCCGATCCTTGACACTCTGCATCGCCAAAACCCAAGCACTCGATTTGTGCAGCCTGGCGAGCAGAATGGCGTATTCGACACCTCCAGCGGACAGACTCTTTACTTCTTTATTGACCTGAAGACTGCTGCTGACGAGACCTGGCCTGCTGTTCTCGAAGCCTTGGAACCTCTACGAAGCGGCGACTGGCTGACTACCTACGATGGCACGACTCTGCGCAAGAACCCCGTCACCGTCATTGGAACTGGAAACACCCAACTTTCTGACGTCCTCGCATCGTCTCCGCGTGACGTATTCTTTGATGCGCCACTTGCGGAGCTCAACGATTCCAAGTACCAAGATCTCACAGCCAACGAGTCCCCGATTGCATCTACCAATTTTGCATCATCCTTTGGTGAAGTGCGTAAGCGTGAGTTCAACGATACGCAGCTAGAGACTTTGAGGGGCCAACTTGACATGGCCCATGAGAAGGGAATCATGGCTAGGTACTGGAATCAGCCAGACTATCCTATTGGCACGAGGAACGCGGTATGGCGGATTCTTTGGGACGAGGGTGTCGACCTGTTGAACGTTGATGATCTTGCGGGCGCGGCTGCATTCTGGGAGGGAACTGGTTAGTTGGATGGAATGCATCTTAACCATACAAAGCTATCTCAACATCAGAATAGACGTATAAAGGCTTAACGATCATAATTGTAGAAAAGATATTATCAAAGCATGGCACTGCTTAGATCATCGCGTGCGGCGCACGTTCGCAGCTCGCTTAAGTCCTGCGGCTCTTGCTCGTGTTCTGGTTCCTGCAGAAGCTGATCCCTGTAACCCCAGATTACGTACTCACCCGAGATTTTCCACATGTCAGTCATCCAAGCAATTGTGTTCTAGATTCCATCTCATATTCGTTGCTTTCATCTGAGACCACTCAGTAAACACCTTCTCCAACCTCCTTCGACAAACATCCTTTATATAAGTACGTGGCTGGGCCCGGAGCCGCTTGCATACCTGAGAAGCTATAGCCAGCCTTTCTTTGTTCAGCTCCCGCACATTCGCACCGGAACCCATCGTCAGGGAAGGGAGCTGCAAGCTTGTAGCTGGCTCTCATCAATAACACTATCGCAAGTGTTTTGAAGTAGCTTCTTTGGGTTTCTGGAGTTACCCGCGAGCTTTTGCGACTGAGAAAGAGCTAGGGAATAGGTGTGTTACGTCATAGCGAAGATGTTTCCTCCATCGCAGGGCTTGCGATTGGACATTGATGCCATCAGCCAGATATTTGGCTCCATCAGCATCGCATGCTGGATAGGTATGTACTTTCCGTCTTCCTGCACAGCTATACGTTGTGCGACGCGCTTGCGCCGTATTGTTTTGACATGATTGTTACCTCGGCAAGCCGGAGCTGACCCGCATACAGTGGTTTTTTCACCTCAGATAATTGAGAACTGGAAGAGAAGCTCAGCAGAGGGCCTTTCGGTAGTCTTCATTGTGATATGGCTTCTCGGGGACTTCTTCAACATCATAGGTGCAGTACTGCAGGGTGTGCTGCCAACGATGACCATCTTGGCGGTGTACTATACGCTAGCCGACATCGTGCTATTGCTGCAGTGCTTCTACTACAAGGGCTTTACGTTGCGTGATGATTTTAAGAAACCGATGGATGAATCCGATGAGGATAGTGAAGCTAGCGAGCAGTCACCGCTTCTTCCCCACCGTAGGCCGCAGTCGAGTGGCTCACCCTATACAAACGGCAACGGCAATGGGATCGAGGTACAGAGACCGCGCATATCAGACATCGACAGACGCGGCTCAAGCCACTCACAAGGCTCATTCCGCGAACGATACCTCTCTATTGACGGCACGCACCTTTCGCCTGCCACACCGCTCCACGATGACTCTACTATTGCACACCAGAATGGCGCGGTCGCAGCCAAACCTCAGCCGGCCCAGTCCAGCCTGCAAACAATCATCTTCAATCTTGGTACCATCGTTCTTGTATGCGCGGCCGGCGTCTTCGGTTGGTATCTCAGTGCCCGGAACTCCACCGCTCCCAATCAGCCAGATGACCAGGACTCGTCACCCGAATCAACACTGCACTTCAACCTTTGGGGCCAGATCTCCGGCTACGTTTGCGCCGCACTCTACCTTGGCTCTCGTGTCCCACAGCTCCTGCTTAACTACCGCCGCAAGTCTACCGAGGGCATCAGCATGCTATTCTTCCTGTTTGCTTGCTTAGGTAACTTGACATATGTGTTGAGCATCCTGGTCTACAAGCCCAAGTGTGGGGGTCATGTCTGCCAGGATGGAGAGGGACGTGCTGAGTATGGCAAGTACATTGCGGTCAACATGAGCTGGTTATTGGGCAGCTTTGGCACGTTGTTGTTGGATGCTGGTGTGTTTGTACAGTACTTCTTGTATAAGATGGATGATGACGAGAGTGACGAAGAGGAGTAAAGGGCAGATATGAGAGATGCCTAAATTGTACTACTACAAAAGTTTTCGTTACGATATTCTGATGGAGCACGCAGCTGGGGGTGCATTGTTGTACATGCATGGCCTCGCAAATGTACATATGCAGAGCAGTCTTGGCTGGGGCTCAGATACGTCGTTCACGAGGAGTCTAATTGGCACCGGAGTTGCGGGACGTCAGTGGGCTTTCGACTTGTCTGTTTGTATCGGAAGCCTTCGCTCGTTGGGGCAAATGGCTGCGCAACATATCCGTCTTGGTACCTTGGGCTGAGCTACGCGCGCGTTTGTAAGATTGGAGTCGTTTGAAATCAGAATGCATCATACTTCAAGAATCTCGTCGTCCTTCTAATCTTTCTCATCAACACCTGAATCTGTTGCAGCTCGCACTTCAACCTGCCGTTCACAAGACAACACCAAACCAAAACGTGCAAAAACCTCACCATGCTGAAGAACGAGCATCTCAAAGGTTCCAACGCTCCTTCTCACACGTACAAAAAGTGTTCCATTAATACTCCCAGGGGTCGTCTTCTTAGCCGCCGCCAAAGCAGAAGCTATTATCCACACCTATCCCACACACTTCTATGATATCGAGGAAGCAAAAGCATATGTTGATGTTACCTGCGAGAAAGCTGACCTCAAGTACATAACTAGCAAGCACATGACAGAGGACGAAATGGAGTATGTGAAAGATAGGGCCTGCTTCATAGTAGCTGCCAAAGCTTTCGGGCAGGGGGAGTTCTATCTAAAGGTCGAGTTAGCTGATCCAAGAGCTTTAAGGAGTATGTATGCCTGATCCTCTCCTTGTTTTCTGATACTGACACGTACATGGTCTAGCCGCTGTCGAAGCCGACATTGAACGCCTGCTCCCCTTAGTGTCTTATTGGCCGTCAAGCTTCCTCAGTGTGCAGCATGCCGTTCTTCACGTCGACAGGGTTGCACGATGGTCCCGGTTCGTGTATGAGCAATTCGAAGGTGTGGAAGAGAAGAAGTTCCGAGCCTATGTCAACTTCAATACGGCCAGGCATGCTTTCGAAGCAGGCAGGTTTGACATGAATATACCCGGTAAAGGATGGCGTCAACCACAGCGCAAACTCGAAAAGGCTGCTACTACATCAAAGGCGCCAATTGAAAGGTTTGGCACAATGAAGAGTAGGCCGATCTACCGTCGAACCCTCTGAACTATACTGATGCGCCAACATAGAAGCCATCGAGTTCGACGTGCAACGCCTTCTTGTGCTAGTGTCCCCCTAGCCGACGAAATTCCCTTCCCTCAACGCAGCTCGAGATCATATCTTCAGCTTCGTGAAGTCCACTTCTTTCTCATTCACATGCTGGCCCGAGGTCGGCGATCACCGCTTCCGCCTATTTGTCAACTATAACACGGCAAAGCGCGCCTTTGAGCTAGGAAAGTTCAAGATCGAAGTCGACGAGAAAGAAGAAGAAGAAGAAGAAAAAGAAGAAGAAGAAGAAGAAGGAGGAGGAGGAGGAGGAGGAGCAATCCTCATATGTGCAAGCAATGTACAAGAGGTAGCCCAAGAAACTACGATGCCGTCTGTGGATGAGTCAGATGAGGATCCTTTCAAGGTAAGGTTCTCTTCCAGTTGGGTACAGACTAACGTGTTTCTGAACATGACATGTGCTAATTATCTTCACTACAGGATCTTATTGCTGTCCTGAAGCGCGAGAGCATTCTCAAGATAGCTTTTGAGTGAAGGAAGCTAGGCGAGCGAGCGTATGAGACACTGGGCAGACTGAGGCTGTGGCATAGTATGTGTTTGTATCAAGAAATATACAGCACTTGGCGTGTGACCAAAAGACGAAGGGACTGATGAAGAAGATTGGTATGTTATGCGATAATTTGGCACTCCCTTGGTATCCTCTAAGTATCTCAGAACCATGGGTTCACATCACACATCTATATTTCATCACTGCCCTCTTTTTCCTCATCAAGGACAGCGTCCACAACATCATCCATAGCGTCCGCAGAATCGTCGAGTGCGATCCCCTTACCCTTGTCCGCCTTTTTTGCCTTCAACTTTGCAATCTCGGCCTCAACACCAAGCTCTACCTCCCTCTTCAACCCTTTGTAGAAGCCCATCTTGAACAGCACTTCATACCACACGAACAAGGGCGCCAGGAACAGGGCCTGGACCAAATTGTCTAGCAGTGCGGGTTTGCGCCCTTCAAACTTGCCATGTCCAACGAATTGAAGTATCCAGCTTACGACGTGGACGGCGACGGCAATGCTGTTGACTTTGGTCTTGTTGTAGCGCTGCGTGAGGCGGTTGGAGAGCGATGCGAAGGCGAGGATTATGGGGGTGACGGTCACGCCAGCGAGGTTGGGAGAGAGAAGGAGGTAGAGAGTTGAGTAGGTAGCTGCAGCGATTGTGCCTAGGTTCAAGGGGAGGTTGAGGCGGGGTAGGAGGGGGTGTTGGCGGATGGGGAGGGTGGGTGTGTTTGTGCCCTGAGAGGTGAGTAGTGGTCAGCGAGGAAAGAATAGGCAACGTACGAAGAGAATGCCTGTCGCAAGCAGGACAGGCACGCATGCTATGTGGATGGCGACGTTTGTTGGCTCGCGGTGATATGCGCCATACTGCTCTTTCGCATTAGCTGATGCGCATCTTTTAAGGGCTGCACGGGTGCCATTACGAAGACGAGGTTCTTCTTCAGATCAAAGACTGGCATCTTGGACAATCTTGAGGCAGTCTCGGTGCTATGCTGCGACAAGGACGGGAAAGTGTTGGCGAGGCGGCGGCGGCGGCGGCGGCGGCGCAGAGGCTGTATAAGGGCGTGCCTGAGATGCGGGGAAGATGGCGGAGAGAAGCGGATCCGGCGACAAAGCCAAGGGGTAAGGTATCGTCAGCTTCAATCAAAGGACAGAAAAGAAAGACAGTATATCCGCAGAGTCTCACGATCCTGGCGCTATAGGATTGCTGACTATCAGCCCATCCTCACAGCGACTGCTGCCATGGCTGAGCTGGGGGGTACAGTGCATTGGCTGGTGGCTAGCTCCCTGCATGTCGAGGCAAGCTGCCGAGGCAGTCGCTGTTAGGGCAGCCCTTGACGTTTGCCGTCGCATCCCGGATAGCCGTTTGCATGCTTCTCAAGTGCATGTGAAAGTCACAGCAGATGGCACTAGTATCCAGGCGCGCTTGAGCAGCGCGTTTTTGTGGGGCTGCATGACGATTGGCGTGTTTTCAGTAGTGGGGATACCGACGACACGCTCCACTTCACTCCTTTGTGTATTGTTGTATCAGGGACAAACTACAACGCTGACCACAACCAGCACGAGGGTATCAAACTAACGAACGACAAGATCTGATGCCACCACGACCGCCAGCCTACGAAAGCCCTCACTACCTTCTAAGCAACAGCCACCTACACCTGCTTCTCGCCGCGAGGCGACGCCTTGACATAGGCATCTGGCTTAGCCAGACCCTTCTTGCGAAGAATGTACGTATTCCAAGCGTAGCTCATCTGCGCCGTCACGCTCACAGGGGGTCGTCGATCGCCAAATTTATACAGCTGAGGCTTGGAGAGACCCTTTTGCCGGAGGACGTACGTCTTGAACCACCAAGGTAGATTCTGACCGGCCTGGTATTTCATGTGCGTACGCGTGGGAACACCAAAGACATAGTCGAGCTCTTCGAGTGTTCGTTGTTTAGTCTCAGGTAACCACAAGAAGCTGGTCGTCTGTCAGATGTACTCTGTTTTGCAAAATGGGTTGGATATCGACTCACATCATGATGAGAGCGACAACGTTCATACCGGCGTAGAAGCCGAATACTCCCTGAGGCTTCATAACTTTGAGCATACGAGGAAGTGTAAGCGACAGGACCGCTGCCTAGATTTTGGTGTACCAAATCAGTATGGGTCCTACCATGCAGTTCGTAAATCCTCGTTACGTACCCAGAAGTTGTTCGTAGCCACAGCCCACGACATTCCCACTTCACGATGGGAGAGCGGGAATACCTCGGCTGAGTATGTGAAAGGTACTGGTCCCATTCCAGGAGAGTAGAAGGCACCAAAGAGATACACGAAGAAGGCGATCAAGCCCAGATGCGCGTCACTATCCTTGGGGATGTAGTAGCACATCCCAGCTACGAGAAGCGTCCAGAACATATTCGGAAATGTGAACAGGAGCAGTCCGCGGCGACCGAAAGTATCGATTGTCCAGACAGCAGGCCACGCGAAAGTGAAGTTGACAAGACCGAAGCCAAACGACGCAATGAGAGCTTCCTTGTTCGTGGCTCCTCCCTCCGCGAAGATTGTTGAGCTGTAGAATGCGATGATGTTGATACCGCACATCTATCTTTGTCAGCTACCATCTCTGGTATAAGCTCTTCTCCACTTGCTTACCTGCTGCCCTATCATAACAATACCAGAAGCTTGCGTCGCTCGACGAACGCGCGGAATAGTGAACAACTCTACGAAGCGTGTGAAGAAATTTGATTTGGGGTTAATCCCAGCTTCACGGATCAAGACCTCTTCCTGCTCCAACAAGCAGTGGGTGTAGTAGAGGTCACGTGCAGCTTGTAGAGGAGTATTCCGTAGTCGGAGGAAGGAGCGATACGCTTTGGCGTATTTGCGCTTTTTCATGAGCCACCGAGGACTTTCGGGTACGAACCAGATGCCAATGCAGAGAGGTACAGCAGGAATAAAAGCAGATCCAAACTGCAGACGCCAGGAAATTGCCCCAGTATTCTATATTCCATCAGTAACCGCAACACGTAGACTCACAATTACTCACCATAACAACTAGATTAGCGACCGTCCCTAGGAAGATTCCGAAGGCTGTCCTGTTGTGCGTGTGCGAAGTCAGTGTATGTCTCACATGCAGTTGGTACAGGGACATTTCTCACCATATCTGCCACGACATGACGAGTCCACCACGTACACTAGCTGGTACGTTTTCCGCCGAGAAAACAGGCACAGTAACTTCCTTGAGTCCCATACCGACTCCAAGGAGTACGCGACACACAGCAAGCTGACCCCACGTCTGGCTCAGACCCATACCGAAGGGTGCCAAAAGTGAGAAGATGGCAGCGATGAAGATGGTACCACGCCTGCCGCAGAGTTCGTTCACCGGATCTACATACATCAGCAAGAGAAGGTAGAAATGCGACGGCAACTTACCAGAGATCCAGGCACAGAAAACTGCAGGAGTGAAAATGCAAAGTCAGTGTATGCCAAACAAGCATGTCAAAATTCCTATACATACCAGCGATAGCTATATAAGGACAAGCATTTACGAACCCAATAATCCATCCATTCTTCTCACACGTTCCCGCCGCCTCACACGCAGGGCCAGAATCTGGGATGCCCAAGGCCTGACCAAAAGTCAAATTAGCCCCATTAGATCCCGTTTGGTCCCAGCCCTGGATAGCAGCTGCGATGGAGTTGAGGATGATGGTAAAGTAGAGTGTCCGCGGTAACTTGAATCGATGCGTAATCTCCTCACGGACAGCCGTACGGTCTGCTTCGTCTAGTTCTTCGAGTTCCTCGAAGAGGGCGGGCGACTGCGCAAGAAGGGCGCCTTTGACAAGGAGCGGTTCGACATTAGTCAATTGGTGTTCTGTGGCGAAGTCGTGGACGTTGGCTAGAAGTTGCTCGCGCGAAATGTCAACGAGTGGGTTTTTGATTCTGGACTTGTCAGTATAGGGTGTTCAGATGAATAGCGATCAGGCAGTTCGTTATGGTAACACTTACTCTCCCTCGAAATTAGCAGTGAGACGAGCGACGCTCTCTTTACGCTTCTGCTCATCATCGAAGATGGAGGCTTTGCGCTCGTGGTGCTCATCCACCACCGCTGGTCTGAAACAAACATTGTCAGTACATTTCGAATTGTACATTACGTCCTATCTCATTGCACTACAAGACATGATGGTAGCTTACTCGATCTTGATCTCCTTGTCAGGCTCCGACATGGCCAAGACAGGAAACTAGACGTGTACAATAGAGCTTGATGTCTAAGCCTGGGTTACCCAAGGCTAGGCGAAGATCACTTCACAAGCCTCTAGCAAGAGACAGGAATATGGATGAAGAGGTTGAAAACAACTCTAGCAAGAACCTCAAGCGACATCGCATGCTTATATTCCCATGTTGCCAGGGCTTGCCTCCATCGATTCCAAGAGCTGGAGTTTCCCCGTCTTGGGTTGATGCCAATACCATTGCTCATCCATGCAGCTCATACCATTCATACACAAAACCGCTCAAGACGATCACGCGGTACATGGTAGCCAGCCAATAGCGCTATGAAGCGGTAGACCAGGGTCAATAATCACCGCATCAAGGCTCAATGTTGGGTGACTTCGGTGGCTGCAGCATGGTAAGACCTCTTTCTTGGGTGGTGGCTTGGCCTAGCTTTGACCATTGTTTCACGCCTTGGATTTCTTGAGGTGGTGAAGCCAGCGATGCGAGGCTGATGCCGATGTTGCGATCCGTGAGGAATCCGGATAAAATAATCAGGCGCATCTTCGGCGCTTGTTCAAGCCAACTGTCGTTGTTGAGCATCGTGGCCTCTAGACCAGCTAGCGTAGTAGTGATAACAACAATAATAGAATTTGTAGATTTCGATACCTCTCAGGCCGGAGAAAAGGCGAAGCACCACAGGCACAGTCGCAGCATGCCTTGTACACACCTACACACCATCTCTTTCGCAAACAAGCCATATATTACGTGTCTGGCTTGGCTTTTCTCAGCAGATCGTTCTTGGTATAACGGCCAAGCTGCGCATCACGCTCCAGCTGGAGCGATAAGAAGGATCTGACATGACGGGATGGTGCAATGCAACACAACACTCATGGCATATGCATGCACGTCGAGCAGATTCCGAAAGCCTGGTAGATGAGCGATCAGCCCACCCAGCAAATGCTTTTGACCGGTGCGTACTGCGGCCGTGTTCTATCGCATGTGAAATTCTGTACTAGTACAACATACGGTCTCTTTTCTGGCGCCGATGATTCCAAAGTTTAATCAAGAAAGCGAAGCCGTCTTAACATCTCCACTTCGTCGAAGGCTTTGCGTGATCAAGACGAGACGAAGAGGAGGTTGTTTCCCCGCATTCTCGCTTGGCTCGACCCAATCCTTGCATGTGCGCCAACAGTTCTGCCTTGGAGTGCGTTCTTGTGTATTTCTTGGATCTGCGGCATGGGTTGTCAGCAAGGCAACAAAGATCGAGACTTGCGCGTGATCGCTCTAGTGAGCTAGTATAAATCGAGCTATCTAGTTGTTTGAGACGCCTGTGTAAGCGTTTCCAATGCAAAGCATCGTATACGGTGTGCCTATTATGATCATGTATATGACAGGGACCAGTGTGAGCTTTTTTTTGTTGACGAAGACACATGTGAATGGATGAAGCTCTTAAGAATTGGTATTTCAGCGCATCTTCGTAGCCGGTCGCGATGCGGGCTATATCTACTAGCACAATATCCCTAGTCAGAGTTTGTACTAGTTGGTTCAGCCTCAGCTTGTGCGCCCGTCCCAGCGTTGAGCTTCACGTCTCTGTAGGAAACGTTGCTGAATCACTATCGTGCGCCTGCTGAGGAGCGGGGCCGAGAGACGAACTTGCAGGCTGCATCTCCAATGATGAGTTACTGAGCCCAACCCCTGCTGTTACAGATTGCTCGTCCGACTGCGGAGTACCTGGCTCGGTCCTTTCTTTTGCAAGTGCTGAATCCATTCCCATGTTCCCCAACGGACCAGGACTGTGATAAGTCTGTAAGAATGTCTTCGCCTTGATGATCTGATCCAATGTTTCCTCATCGTGTCTCTCGTCTGCATCTTCCAAGCTTGGTGTAAAGCTGTCTTTCAGTTTTTTAACCTTGTCATTATCTTTCTTGTGCCCAGGCGTCGTCTAAATTCCGGAGGCATATCCTACCTCCTTCTGCTTCCCTTTATCTGTACTATCGCTTGTGTCAGCACTCCCGGCGAAGGCCTGCTGGATAGGAGGTCTTGGTTTCGCTGCGATATCGAGTTCGGCAAACTTGGGTCGCACCTGGAAGATGTTCACACGGGCAGCGTTGAATACTTGTTCGGAAGGTGGGATGGCGACTGCGAGATTTGTGTTTTCGGTCAGGCGTGTGATGAAGAACATGAAGCGACCGGTTTTGATTTGCATTTCTGCAAAGTTTGCGCTACCGGCGGGGATATTTGTGTGTTTTCTATGGGAGGCGGCTGGTTAGTCTGGGATTCTCACAGGTGAGATGAGTGTAGGGGATTTGTACGTACGCCATGCTCTGCTTGTGTGTCTTGAGGATGCTTGAAATGCGCTCGAAACGATCTGTGAAGGGATTTGATTCTTCGGTCTGTCTTGTGACATGGGCAACAGTGAGACATGTCGTCCGCTCATACAGAATGAGTTCTCTCGCATCGATGACCTCTGCCAGCTGTTCCAGCAGCGCCTCGATGGTGCCAGCGTTGGGGATCAGATAGTAGATGATCTTTGTCCAAGCCTTGTATAAGCTCTGATCCCAGATACTGGTCGCAAAGAACTCGACAGTGTCTTTGAAGCCTTCACTAGCCTCGCGGATGTACTCGGCGCGTTCGTCGAACATGGCTTGGCGAAGGCGGGCTTGCACAAGATCCATCTTGTGTATGAGGCAGAAGACCTTGGCGCCGGGACTGCACTCATGGAGGGCACGTATGATGTTGGAGTAAGAGACAACATCGGCTGCGAATTCGCGTGATTCGATGTCGAAGACGAAGATGAGGACAGCGACGGAGCCGAAGACGTGGTTCCTAGATTGGTTGAGATAGTTCTCGACGAAACCGTCTTGACTGCGAAAAGTTAGTTCGAGGCATCTTGTCGTCTCACGTATGGTGGGCTCACCCTCCACAGTCCCAGAGATTGAGCATCAGGTTTCCCATGAACTTGATATTGCTGTGCTCGACGTCGATTGTCGCGCCCAGCCTACGGACGTCTTTGGCGACATAGTTGCTAAACACGATGCTTCTCATCGACGACTTGCCAGCCCCGCTCTTGCCCATCAGCAGCACCTTGCGCTGTTTCTGCCGTTTGATCGAGTTCATCGCGATAGCCTTGACCGACAGTAGAGAGGAGCTACGTGAGAGCTGTGAAGAGGCGGGGTGTGCGCAAGTAGCCTGACGGTAGATTTCGAGTCGGTAGCGAAAGCGGAGTGGTAAACTGATAGTAATACCGAGCCGTCAGGTGGAATTTGGTGATGGGATGACGTACTGTAAACACCTGCTTCGGAGCTTTGGCTTTGGCGCGCGGTATTTGGGGCCCTGCACCAATCTTTGCTTGGCAGTGGGGCACTTCCGCGCTCCGCATTCCCATCACGCGCGAATGCGATTGCCATCCTTGCTTTTGGCTGTCTCGTAACGGGTACGCGCGTGTTAGTCTTTCACTCGTCATCGCCATCTACTTGGGAAACTGTCGTGGTTGGGAGGCACACACTCTCATTCAAAAGGCTTTGGTACATAGCTACATGGTCGAAGATTCCAAAAGTCATGGTAAGTGAGGAATTATTACAACATAGGAAATGGATAGCTTAGACTGCCAGCGCTTTGGAGATAAATAGGACATAAATGTGGCTAGTGCGACGAAGCAGAAGGTATAAACAAGAAGCCGTGCCACCAAATGCGACCGTCAAGATCGTGTATCATAAATCCCACCCACTTGGCCATAATTAGAAGGTACTGGTGCGGCATGGGCAAGGGCACCCTCGTGGGTATCGGATACGTGCTTCCGCTGCACGATGTCTGTATGTGAAGGAAGCGAAGGAAGTGCGGAATAACGAAGAAAGGGGTATCTTAGAAAACAGTGCCGTCCGAGAGGATCATGATTGGCGGCTCTTTAGTGTTGGGCCGCGACACTTCAGCAATCTCTCGACCTCCCTAGTGTTGCGAGTCAGTTTCATCCAGAAGAACATTTGAGTGGCGTCAAGCTTACCTTCCAACTACCAGCTTCGAGCATCTGCGCCAGGTTCAGCTTATCTGACCCGCTCAGACCCAGTAGGTTGTTTACGTCGACTAATAGATCGTCGAGTAGTCCGACTGTGACTGCGCGCCATTCGACTACTACATCGTCGTCGGCGGTAAACATTGGTACGACTTCCATGCTCGGTTGGCCTGTTGCCTGTGCATTGCGTTGGTATTGCGCGAGACCGCGTTTCTGATCCTCAGGCTTCAGTGTCAAGAGGCCGACGTCGATGAACAGTCCACCGTTTCTGTATTCTGGCAGCCCGGTAAGGAGTTCTGCGCCAGGGAAATGAACATGGAGGAGCTTGGTCATGGGGACCATTAGTGAGTAAGTCATCCATTGGGTTAGTTTGTGGAAAGGCACAATGTTTTCCCACGGATGGGTCGGGTGTGATGGCATGACTGAGCACGGCCATGCGTCGCCCATGGGTACACCGTCGATTTGAGTCCTTGTGGCTGGCCAGATGGGGGTCAAACTGTCCATGAGGGTATTCCAAAGAGTTGGGAGGGGTATGATGGGGACTGATGATGCTTGCGTGGTTGGGTGCGAGAGAAGGTAATCTGACCTTGTTAGCCAAAATCACGAGACTTGATGGCCATGCATACCGAGCATGTTTCCTGGTCGTGCTTCGAGGCCAAAAACTTGTTGGTTCTGGAGCGCTTCTGCGAGACGCAGCAGCAGGCCAGTGCGACCCTCGAGGCCATCGATTGGGTTTGTGGCGTTGACCTGCAGGCCACGCGCCACTGTTGCGACGTCGAGCTTCTTCAGCCCCGCACTGTCGACCTGGTAGGGTTCTTTGGGATCGCTGCTGAAAGCGCCGGCCTTGAACATCTCCAGACTGGCGACGGCGAGACCCTCGCTACGGCGGTAGATCTTGCCCGACTCCTTGCTCTTGTACTGCCACTTGGTGCCTGCACCTGCATCGAGGAGGACGGAGACGAGGAAGAGATCTATGAGGCGGCGAGTGCGCTCCTGGTTGTCGACGGTCGATGGCCATGTTGCCATGAGCTGATCGATGCGCGGGCGGCCACCAACATCAAAGTGCTGCCAGCGGCCGTGAGGCGGAATTGAGGCGTAGTCAGGCGCATAGTCGCGCTGCAGGCAGTGTTAGAGCGCGCTGTCGGCCAACATGGTATCCTTGCGCTCGCAGAATGAGGCTTACCTTAATTATGGATACGACAAAGCTAGCGACATCTCCAAACTTGCTCATGTCGACTGTGAAGTGCTTGAGCTGATTTTTCTTGGCCTTTTCGAGCACCAGCTTGGAGCGCTCGCGGACGGCGTAGATGCTGCGCAGGTAGCCGGCCGGGTCGAGAGTTGGATCTGGGGCCTTTGGCAGAGGGACGTCTGGGAAGCTGGTAGGCCGGGAGCCGTTTGGAGTGGGTCCAGGGGAGCGCAGGGAGCCATTGGAGCTGTTTGGCTGGCTGCCGTTGGGGGAAACCTGGGGCTTGGAGCCCTTGCGATTGAAGAGACGCATTGGAGGCAGCGGCGACAGAGGGCGAGGATTTCTGGCGAGAGGAGCCTTGGTGGTGAGGTTTGCTGGGAAGTAGGAAGGCACGTTCAAGTCGGGCGAGGTTGCTGGAGAATGCGGCGATCGTTCTGTCCAGAGGCCCGCGCTTGCTGGCAGTGCGGAACCGTTACCGGGAGATCCCTGGACAAATAATCCGGAAGCGACTGCGCTGGTGGAGCAAGAGAGTCGACACGTGCCGATGGAGAAACCTTGTGTAGACACTATGCGTAGTCACCACCCGCGCACTCATCAATTGCAAATCAGCTGCAGGAGGAATCGAGGACAAAGCTGCGAGAGACGCAGGAGCAAGTCCAGACGCGCCGCCTCCAGTTGTATACTACAGTCGTCTCCACCCTGGCAACCATAGTCTCGCCGACCGTCTGCCCCTTGCTCTTCCGCGTCAATGGGCGGCACGATAGACGACGCTAGTAGCGCAGCAATAAACCCTTGGAGCGTCGTCCTGTTCTGTTCCGTTCCTGAACAGCAATTCAGCTGGAGGCCCGACTGACGTATATCCTACCCACACCCGCGCCTTTCTCAACGCGCTCCCGACACCTGTCCACCCTGCAGGGTCCCGACTGCTCGTCGCGTCTGTTGATGCGAGGTCGCGGTCTCTTCCATTCAAGGCATAGCTGCTGCCTCTGTACCTGACCTATGAACCGTTCGCTCCAGCTGCGACCTCTGCGGCACGCACCACATCCCCCTTGTGGTTAGGCCCACAGTATTTCTACCAGGTATCGGTCTTGACCGTCTTCAGGCTAGCAGGCAGCGTGCATACACCAAATGCAACCTCATTACCAGTTATGCTATTCTCCCACGACGCCCTTCTCCGTCGTCTCTGCTGTCTGCAAGATCAGCATCGCTATTCACACTCGTCCAAACCTAGATTCTTGCACATAGCTTCTCCTGACATGGACCCTTTACTAATGCTATGCCCAAAGCCCACAGCCTGAGTCATCTACCTATCGCTTACGTCGGGGATTGGCGGGTGGTCAAGTCTGATACCGTGGCCGCGGGTTCGCGGCTCGGCAAATCCGCCATGTTGCCTGAGCGCCGAGAGTATCGACTGCCCTCCCGCCCAGGCACGAGCTGGCTGTTATCATCAGCCTAATAAGACACTTTGCACGCACAACCCGATAAAAATATTTTCCATTACTTCCAACCTTCTGCACAACTGCCGAAAACAGGCCCATTACTTCACACCCAGCGACACTAAGGGCTCGCGGCTTCGGTTACCGTGCCGCCTACGAGTAATGAATGAAGGCATCCCTTCGGCCCGAGTCAGATGTGACACCACGGATCCAATCCATCTTGATTCGATGCGGAAGAGAGAAAGCCTTGCAAAGCTTTGCGTTGACCCTCAGGGGGGTCGCGTAGTCGGGACAGTCCGCTCGCGCCAGGACGTGCTACTGCCACCATCTCCGCGGTCGCGGTTCGACAGAGCCCACTGACCGCATCTTAACCTGACAGCTGTGGATCCGGGCATGCGCTCTCTATTCATGCCTGTTGCCCGACTCCGCAATCACAATCCTTTACCGGTTGTTTACCTTCTGTTTACCCAGCAATCGATACGGAACGTTTGTCGGTTCGGAGGAACTGCTCGCACCAATGCGTTGCAAGGTACCGATGCAAGCATGGGGTCCAGGAACGCACATGGCTCCGAAGCCGAGCTGGAGTCTGTGCCTGCGGGAGCTGCAAAGATGGGGCTCTGTAGCACTTTATATGCGACATGTGTCGGCTCTACTTGCCTCTGTCACAATGAAGAGCCTTCTTTCCATGTTATGCAAAACATGTGAGGCTTTCGAGATTTGAACAATCTTATCGCACCGTATTCACGTATTTACGTATTCTAAGATTTCGGTGGCGTTGACTGCGGGTGCCATGTAGGTATGCTGTAGACTGACCAAACCACAATTTGGACGTCCGATGAAGTATGCCAAAGACACTTTTGAGACATGGCCTGGACCCTGCATGTGTGTCACGTGTTGTGGCTATGCCTGGCGGGTACCTGTGGCGCGAACCGAGCAAGCGCAAGCGCGACAGACACATGGTGAAGCGGTCAATACACCCAATACTGATGTTTGACAACCCAACTCGCAATAATGATATGATTTCTCCCGCACACTCTTTGACACGACGTACACAGCAAAAGCAAATACAATGGACGATCTAGCCGGCCTTGACTGGTCGCAGCCCGCCAAAAAGACAACGACCAACACCCCCGCGGCCTTTCCACCCTTCCGCCAGAGCCCCACGCCTCAACTGTCCGGTCGATCCACGCCCCTTTCCACGCTCTCTACGCAACCGTCTGGCACTGGAGCTGGCTCCGGTGGCACTCAGCAGTTCAAGCCGCCCTCGAAAGCAGCGACTCCCGCAAACGACAGCTTCGCTAGTCTCGTGTCTTCCAACAAGTCCAAAGCCCCGACAAGCAACCTCTCACTACAAGAGCGGCAGAAACAGATACAAGAGGAGAAGGCGCGACAGGAAGCGGAGAAGAGGAGGCAATGGGATACCACCTTTGGGGGTGCTGATTCAAGCCATTTGGACACGTTAGGAAGTGGGAAGAGCACACCAGAG